AAGAGGATGGAATGAGCTTTATGCGCTTCACTACTGCTGCAAAAAAAGAAAAAAAAAGAAAATGTAATCTTGCAAAATATGTAGAAAAATCATGTAATGTCAAATACATATTATTAGTTTAAGCATAGTACCAATGTTTAGCAGGTCCTTTGTTCAAGATTTATCAATACGATGTCAAATTTTCAGCTTGTTTAATATACATTCTTAGCCTAAGACCCATTATCATAAGCTTTTAAATAAAGCGATCAGAATGTATATGATGGGTTGTTGTTGTTGTTGTTGTTCAGCTTTCCCCTTCTTCGCAGTTGGATTATGATTGCTTGTAGTAAATTCTTGTGCTTTCGAATGGGAAATGTCATAACAATGAGATGAAACAATGAGATGAAGTTGATCACATCAACGAATTAAAGGCGAAAACAAACAGAGAGACCACTGGCTAATAAATTAAGATCCAATGAAGGAGGGGACTGAATCGAATCAGAAAAGGGCAAAAAAGGAAAGAATTAGATCAGCAGATTCCTTAAAAATCAAACTTTGCAGCATAGTATCAGATTTATTTTTGTATTGTTTAACTTAACAGTGAGGTGCGTTAGCTTTTATGCGTGTATTGCAATAAGAGTTTATCATTATAATTTTATCATTATTTGGACTATTTAACTACACAAGGCATGTTCAAACTTTTGTGACATTCTAATCTATGACAGAAAAGTCATGCTGCTCTAACCGTATTTTTGTGCAGCACCTCTAACAGACCATGGTTGTGAATTCTAATATGGGGGTAGTTTTTAGTTTAATTTTGTGAAGTCTTGTTGCAGGGGGTTTTATATTGTTGATTCAGTGGCGGTACGTTTAGTTCATGTTAATCTTTCATATGATGGCTCGGGATGAAAGATGAGTTGTTATGTGGCCAATTTGGTGACAAAATGTTGTTTCATCTCCTTTTCATGTTATTGTCAGCTGAGGAAGCTTATAGATCGTTTTATGTTTTCTGAAAGATGAAAGGTATTCACAATTGTCTTTCACCCAGTATTAAAAAAAATCAAAGGTCTTTTTTTGCTAGAGATATTCAGGTCTCCCGTCTGAGTGAAACACACTTGCAATTTTCTAGTTATAGGTCTACCTAAATAAACCAGTTGTTGGTCAGTGTCTAGGCTTAAAAAAGAGCAATCCAATGCTAAATCATCTCTTCTACAACTTAAACTTGTGACATCTAGATTATAATAGAGGAACAATATTATTAAGCTATTAATGCATAGAGGGCTAGAGGAACAGAATGTATATGATGCACGATACAAAACCTTGAATTTCATGTTAGTATGATTAGACTAAAAAGTTCTCTTGACCATACCCTCACTGAATGTTTTGATTTTGTTTCCGAGCAGAGATTTGGATGTGTGTCATTATAGATAAATTGGATTTCACAAGCTTTTCTAACTAGTTGCTCTTTCTTGGATGGAAAAGTTGACATGTCTGGTACAACACTTGATCTCTGCTTATAGGTACTGGAAATAATTTATCACGTTCTCTTATACATACCATAATCTGTCACATTTTCTTTTGTCGGTGCTATCAAACTTTCCCATCATTGCATTTGCAGCAAGTGTTTGCGTCTTCATTTAGTATCTTTTTAAACCTATAAGTATGCGTATAATAAATGTCCATAAGGATGTTAATCCCCAGCCTGGACCTGACCTGTATGGATGGTTCTGTATTGTGTCTAAAAGCTTGACCTTTGCATGGAATTGGGTAGAGTCTGTGTACTACTTACATGGAGTCAGAGTCTTTCCATTTTGGTCAACAAATATGTATATTTAGCATACAAATTGTATATGCACACGACATATATTTGAGTGCATGAATAACATCCAAAGCCCACGATATATATGTCACATTGTAGTATATGGAATATATATGCATGTCTTAATATCAAAAATGATATATTTTGGCTAGCTCATGTAACTTCAATGTTACTTATCCTATAAAAATGATATATTTTGGCTAGCTCATGTAACTTCAATGTTACTTATCCTATTAGTTTAGACCACATGCATTCAATGTTACTTATCCTAGCTCATGTAAATGACCTGAAGACTGGTCCTCGTTTTTACACAGATTGAGAGATATTTGAGGCCCTTTCAAAAGTTGAAGGGCTCAATGAGGACGCACAACTTGTAGCCTACGACTATCTTATTGAGGATGCGGCTCGAGGGAGGAACTTTATTGGGTTACCAATTCAATGAAGGAAAATGTGGTTGGAGATTAAGCTTGGATGAGCATCACACAATCTTGGTATCGGTACTACGAGGTAATTTAATTTATACTCTAATTACATGTTCGCATTTTACCACCTAGTTCTTAAGTTTAAGGTATAATGAAATAAAAAATTACTAACATTCCTTTGCCTAATATAAAAGCCTTCCTTCCTTTCAAAAGTTGAAGGGCCCTCTGGTGTTTACCTTTTCATGATGGGAGGATTGTCTTTGAGTTTGAACTTGCATTGTTTGATAGTAATAAGTACATCACCTTATTGTTTGTAATTCAATGTTTATCGAGTATGATATTATAGTTCTTATCATTGAAGTCTGTTCCATGTACAAAGTTACTTATATCACCAATATATGCATCTTTCCTTTTTGTGTATGTATGGAATTTTTTCTAGTTTTGATTTATATACAGATTTACAATAAGCATGCCTTCAAGTTATCTCTCCATTTGGAAGTATTTAGTAAATTTCACAAGATTAGAACACAAAGGCACATGTTTATGGGGGCAAACATAACATTACGATGATTAGTCACTTCCATCATTTCTGATGATTAGTCTTAAGAAAAGAACCATGATACGACGAGTGATAGTTTCATTTTGCTTCTAAAAGAATGTTAAGACTTCATTTTATAGGTTTTTGATATTTATATTCTACTATTGGATTTTTTTTTTGAATTAATTTCAGGGGATGAAGGATGCGAAATTGATGTTTTGATGGGTTCAGGATGCGAAATTGATGTTTTGATGGGTTCACTAAAGCCAAAAAACAAGGACTTCGGCATATTTCTCTCTCTCTCTCTTTGGTTAAGATTTTCTATATGAAATTGATTGTAATAAACTTTGTTGGTTAAGATCTTCTATATGAAATTGATTGTAATAGATTTTGTTGGTTAAAATTTTTTATATGAAATTGATTGTAATAGACTTCATGACTAGAAATGGATTATACTTTATATTAGAAATATCATGACATTTATTTTAGATTTATTTTATTTCTTTCATTGATCTTTCTTTCTGCAAATATTATGTGTGAGAAATGTTGTTCTTTAATTAGTGGAATTGTGGTTGTGCTTTTGCTTGTTAATTATTTTTTATAAATTATTTAAAATCTAAATCTAATTACAAAAAATATGAATTAAAATTATGGTGTGATAATTTTCTTTCTCTTTTTCTCATAAAGGTAACCAAACAAGATAAAATGATTTTCTTATAAATTTTCTTCTAACTTTCATTACAATATTCTTTCTAACCAAACAATAAAAAGAATATCATTTTCTTTTCTTTTTCTTTTCCTTTCTTTACTTTCTCTTTCTTTTTCTTTTCTCTCCCTTTCTCTCAAACCAAACATAGCCTAAAAGAAAGGTCTTTTTATATGAATCCCTCGAATCTTCAACATTCCATATTATGTGAAAAATTATCCAATGAGGACGAATCTTCAACATTCCATAATATGTGAAAAATTATCCAATGAGGACGCTTCATGACATTTTTGGAGATGATTGGATAATCCACTTGGCTTATAAATAGATTATAAGCCAAGCGGATTATAAGTCAATGTGTTTGGTAAAAAAGTAAATTATAAACTGCTTTTTAATAAGAGAATGTTTGGCAAATAGGTGGATTATATAATACATCATTATCATCAATATCACTGAAAAGGACATGACTCGAAATTTGGAGATTGAATAGACATTAGGATTATCTTAGATACTGAGGGGTAAACTTGACATTTACTTGGTCAAACTATATGGCTTATGAGCCACTAAAAAATAATCTGGGTTAGAGAAGCTTTTTTTTGGGGCTTATAAGCCAAAATAAGTCGGTTGCCAAACATGTTGCATTTATTTATAAGTTAGTTTGAGCAATTGCTAAACATGCCCTTAATATGTACGAGATGAATGTTTACCATTGGATCCTTCTTCGGATTGGAAGTTAGTTTGAGCAATTGCTAAACAAGCCCTTATTCTACAAAATCCAAGCCCCACTAAAGCAATCTTTCTTCGGAGGCCATATGCCCGGAACTATTTTTTAAGCTTTCCAATGGTCAAATTTCCCTCTAGAATCCATATATTTCTCTGAATGCAGTGTAATTTGTTAAAATGAGGGTGCTCAGTTGGAAGTTAACTCAATCACGGTTTGAAATTTTGACCAAAAAACTAGCATAACATTTGCACCCCATCACATAAAATAGTATAATTGAGTGCAATGAAAGGCAAGCAAGTAGTTGGAATAGTTTTAAAATGTGATGTAATGAAACTGATAAAAGATAGTGAGTGCATTTCCATCAAGTATTATAGTTTTGTAATTTTTTATTTTTATTTTAAGATTAGTAATACTTGCAGCTTCCCCCCCCCCCACCCCCCACCCCACCCACCAAAAAAAGTTTCTAGATTCACCCATTGCATTGACGGAAATAAGAAGTTTGCGAATGTCTAAGGGATATTATAATTTATTAAGATTGTGGACTAACATCTAGAAAACCAGAAAAGGATCGGTTTTGGCGTGTATCGGATTGTTAATTTTTTTAGGAAAAAGTTGGAGCTTCTGGAGAGTTATTAATTATTTGACTGCTCTTCGAGTGGTAGGGGCAGGTCTGCGAGTGGGAAAACAAAGTTCGGGGGGTTTTGTGGAAAGTTACCCCTCATGGAAAGTATCGGATCGTTTGATCGGGGTTCGAATAAAGGGGCTTACGTTATCCACCTCTCTCATCCGACGGACACTGTCGCCTTCCTTCAGTCTTGCAGCTGCCGGGCTGCTTCCTCACTACGCAGCCAAAATTACTAGAAGCGTCCTCGAGATTCCTCGAGCTTCTCTAATGGCGACCGCCTCCTCCTCAATCCCTCAGCCGAGACTGCCGGCCGCCACCGAAACGGTGCGAAGGAATCGGATCCTCTCCAGCAAGCTCTACTTCGACGTCCCTCTCGCTAAGGTGCCCTGCAACCCCCAAAGACCTGTTCAAAGATTCAGTCTGTTTAGAATTTTCTCTGAATTTTCACTCGATTGGGTCAATCTCAGGTCCCTGTGATCTACTCGCCTTCTTACGACATCGCGTTTCTGGGAATCGAGAAACTGTGAGCCGACATCTTCACTGTTTGTTAGGGTTGAGGTTTTGGGGTTCTGTTTGATGAAAATTAGATGGGTTTTTGTTTGGATTTTTTTTATACTAAAGGGATAATTTGGTCCCTGTACAAACAAGGGCTTCATTCTCGAATTAGTCCCTCCACTTTATTATTATTATTTTGTTACCAGGCTAGAGATCCTTGAATATTTGCCAACATTATGTTTATCTGAATAACTAAGTAGCAGTCTTGTGTTTCAGCGAAATAAGATCCATCATGGTGGGTTGAAGTCAATTCGCATGAGCACTCTTGAAATTCTGCCACTGAACTTAGTTAAACTGACTCGTTTAGAAGATAAAACCTAAAATAATAATCAGATTCAATTCTTGGAATTCTATTACCTATGTCACACCTTACAAAACACCTAATTTCAGCTGTTAGGTAGATTACGATTTTATTGAGTCCACGTCAATCCTGGCCATTTTGGGTTGTGTCCAGGCCACTCTCAACTCATATTAATTTTTTAGAATGGGAGCTTAGTCATTATTCGAATCCACACCTTAATGTAAGGATAAAATCATCTAGTAAATAGTAGATTCCTCATGCTAAAAGAAGCTTTTTAGGATGCGTAATTCTGGGTATACTAAACACTGGCTCTTAGGTATCATTGGCCATAAATATTCATATGCATATTGCTGTAAAAAGGAGAAAATCAAGAATAGAAGAATCTTTAGTAGTCGAAGGCCTCTTCATTGTTACCATTAGAGAATCTCCAACCCTACTCTCCAAATTCCACTCTCCAAATTGGAATATTCCTAGAATATTCCAATTTGGAGAGTGAAATTTGGAGATTTGCTCCCAACCCACACTCTCTAAATATTTTTATTTTTATTTTATTTTTGTCAAAAAAAACCATATAAATTAATAATGTTGGATATAGTTTACATTAATAATTGTATTTTTAATAACTTATTTGGAAAAAAATAATAACATTCGATAGGTGTCGATGAGAGCTTTAAAATGAACCCAATATTAAATAATGCAATACAACATATTAAAAAAATAAAATATAAAATAACAATGACAAAGCATACATCGATAGTACAAGGAAGCAAACATAAACCTCTAATACAACATACCATAGGTCGCAAACATAAACCTCAAACATAAAATATGATAACAGACAATTAAAATCTGGCAGGTCATTATCGTTATAACTATCGATTCTATCCAGATCTCTCGATGAACTCCCATATTCATTTTTTCCTACAGAACCAGCTTCTCCCACAAACTGAGAAAATCCTCCTTGATCTCCAGAGGGAAATCCACATTTGTTTTCTCCTCCTACAACTCCTCTTAAGAAGCTTAGAAAATCCTCTTGGCTCACTGGAGGAAAATCCATAGTCGAATGATGGAGCTCTATATTCCTTTCTATTAATAATTTCTTGTTTTTTATGTTGATACTAAGCACGTTCAATTTGATCGACGGTCTTACTTAGATCAATCATCATAATTTGTCTGTCCTCGCTTTTACACTGAAGAGCTAATTATTGGTCATGTTGTTCTACTTCTCTAGCTCGCAATTCTAATTTTATTTTTTCATTTCAAGTTTCATTATCATCAATCGCTCCATTTCTTCCTACTCATTTCACATTTAGCATCCATCTCTTGCATACTCTTAATAATTCCCTCTTCAGAACTAAATTCCGCTGACTTTTTTCTCTTTGCATACTCTTAATAATTTTCTCTAACAGGCCGACTTGCTGGGCTGTTCGTGGGAGACTGACCATCACTCATGTTCATAAAACTTTCGCTCTCCATGTTAAGATCCATAACATTCTTTGTTGCATTAGGCCTACTTTGCGTGTTCGACTCTAATCCTTCAGAGATGCTCCCAACTTTATGATTGGATTTAGGGTCAGCCCATTTCTCGGCATCCTTGAGGATCATCCAAACATGATCGAACTGAAATCATTTCCTTTCTTCAACATCTTCTTCGTACATGATTCTAGCTTGAGTCAACTAACAAAATTACAACAAAAAAAGACAGTTGAAAATGATATTATAAAATCCATAGTAAAATTATATACTTACTATTTCGAGTTTAGAAGCTCCGCTTGGATTCGATCGCTCGATTTGTCGAACACAAACCCGAAATTTATTTGCTGCCTTCTTAATTGTGTCCATACGACATTCCAGAGACATTGGTGTCCGTTGTCTATCACCTACCTTTTTATGGAATATTGATGTGATTCTTCCCCACATCTTATCTCTCTTTTGACATGTGCCTGAGACTGGGTCTTGAGAAATTTCAAGCCATCCCTAGCACAAGAACTGATCTTCTTGGTTACTGAATGATTTACCTCGAACAGATGTCATAGTGGATGAAGAAAGATTGATGAACAAAAGTAGTTGTCCAAATAAATTAGAAAGAAAGGATCGAAGTGTGCCATATGGGATAGGAGCTACCATTATTTATAATACATGTCTCCCAACAAGAGGTGATGGTGGGAATCTGGTGATTGCAAGAAGACAAACACGTGACTCGATATTGACACAACCGTACATGGATATTGGAAACATCACCCGACAAGAGGTGATGGTGGGAATCTAGTGATTGCAAGAAGATAAACATAGGACTCGATATTGACACGACCAGACATGAATCTTTCAGAACTCTTTATTAATATGAACTCTAAATGCAAAACTCAATATTTCACAATTCTTTTCTCTCCATACAATAAAACATGAGCTTTGGAGAAGAGCCATCTTGGAACCACTCTTCTTCTTCCTTCGATGGAGAGACCCTTGATCTTTGCTTTCAAGACCAGGAGAATGAACTGGCTGAGCAGGAGAAGCGAGATAAAGTCATGAAGAAAATATTAGCTCGTCGTCTCAAGAGAGCAAAGAACGAAAACGTAAAGGATCGATTCCCGATCATGTGGTGATCAATCGTGGAAGAGAAGAATGTAACTCTTGACTTTGACACGATTATTTTTCTGAGAAACCCACATATGGGGATGCTCTTTTTTCGTAGAAAGTTTCGATGTCGACGAGATCTATTCCTTCGCATTGTCAATGGAGTAAAACAGCACGACAACTACTTTGTGCAGAAGAGATCTATTCCCTCCTGCTAATTATAGTATTTTAGGAAAGAATTATGATACAAGTTATTATTTGATCGATGGGATATACCCCAAATGATCTACTCTTGTACAAACAATATCCCAACTACAAGGGCCTAAGAGACAGCTTTTTGCTGCTATGCAAGAAGGATATCGAAAAGATGTAAAGCGGGCTTTTGGTGTTCTTCAGTCACGATTTGCCATTATCAAGGGACCATCACGTTCTTGGGACAAACAGGGACTACACGACATAATGACTGTTTGTATTATACTACATAACATAACTGTGAAGGATGAACGCGATGTGGAACCAGAGATTATTGTTCACGATGAATCTTCAAGATGTGAAGAGATGGAGATTGATGATGCCCCACGATTCCGATGATTCCTTGATCGACATAGGAAGATTCAAGATATGGAAGCTCATGTTATGCTTTTGAACATGCTAATTGAACATTTATGACAAATGCACGACAACGAAGGAATGTAATTTAAATGTTGTAATTTGTGCTTGTATTTTCTTATGGGACAAGTTAAATAGATACCCGTATTTAAATTTTCATGTCTGATACTTATTTATTTAATTTAAAAAATAATAATTTTATAATTATACTAAAATAAATTAATCTTAGTTTTATTTTGAAGATCTCGACGAGACCTTTCCAAATATATAATTATTTCAAAAATTAGATTAATAATTTTTTAATTATATTTATTTGAAATTAAACATCTAATTTAAATTACTAAGAATGATGGCAAAGTGGCAATTTTCAAGAAATTAAATAATTGAAAGTGGCAAAGTTGTAAATAATAAAAGTTTGAATAGTGATTTGGAGAGAGACTCCAAATTTTAGCTTCACTCTCCAAATTTGGAGAGTGAATCATCTCCAAATTTGGAGATCTCCAAATTTGGAGAGGATTTACTCTCCAAATTTGGAGGGATGGAGATTTTGCCGAGTGATTGGAGATGCTCTTATATGATCGTTTATTTTGCAAAAGCTCTTCCAAAAAACAATGTTATAAGAGCAGGTCCAACTCTTGAAGTTTATCAGTTAGTATAGTGAAATACCATGGTTATATACTGTACATAGACAGAAATACTTTAGGGTGTACTTGGATACTGACGTTTACTGTAAACTTGATGATGGGTCTTAGTATTTAGCACCAGAGATACATTGATTGCACACTTGTGAATATCTAGTGCTCGGACTGTAAATAATGCAAATATTTACAGTGCAATAAAAAACACGTGATATTGTTATATAATTCTTGCCTGTGTTTATTTTCATGGCTTTGCTGTGTTTATCAAGAAAATTGATTAGCTGAGCCAACGTTAGATGCAATGATAAAATGAAGTTTGGGGAGGTTACCCATGCTTAATTTTTCGTATTGTGGAATACCCATGCTATTCCATGAGACCAGTTACGCACTTAAACCTTTAGCTGAAGCAGAGCTATAACCGGGTTCATTCTATAGCTTAGATGCCAAAAAACATATTGAGTACATACGTAATATTGTGGTTGATAATCTAAAGAAAACGAACCATAACTTCTTTCATTACTTTATTTTCTTGATATTATACATTGGAGAGATTTTAAAATTAGCAAACTTAGATCGGTTTTAAATGAATTCAAAAGAGAAGCTCTAAATCAAAAGTACAGGGACCTCTATCGTCATTTATTTGAGGGTCATATGGTAATCAAGAAAAAATTAATACCCAAATTCTAACGAATGTTAAACAAGGACTAAGTTTGTAGCTAAGAGGTCGTACAGGGACTAAGTACAGGAAAAAGAAAGTAGAGGGACCAATTTGAGAATAACACCCCAGTTCAGGGACCAATTTGGTCTTTTAGCCTTATTTTTTGTTTGTAAATACAAAATTTAATCTTGATTTATTTTTAAACTCATTCGCTTCCAAAACTATTCTTGAACCCAAAATACTCATGCTGAATTATTTTTAAACATATAGCTACTGATATACCATTATACACTTTAGACCCGAATATAACTACTTATACACCAGTTATAGCAACCTAGACATTAGTACAATGAATGGAAAATGGGTTGAAAAGTAGTTCAATATGGCTATTTTTGGTTTAAGAATAATTTTGGAAATGGGCATGTCAAAAAAGATCAGATAAAACTTTGGGATTTTATAGAAAGAGCCTTTTTTTCTGGGTGCAGGCACCCTTTTGACTCCTCGAAATGGGGTCGCATATGCCAATTTCTGATTAAAGAAGGTGTTTTGGATAAGAATCGGATAGTAGAGCCGTTGGAAGCTTTGAAAGATGACTTGCTAGTGGTAAAGGAGAAGTGCTATTTTACTTCGAAACGATGATTCTTTTGTTTTTTGTTTTTTGTTTTTTTTGCTTGGATTTTGTAATGATGATTTTTGAATTAGTGGTTTCTTTCGTACAGGTTCATAGTGAATCATATTTGGCCAGTCTCAAGAGCAGTTTGAACGTTTCTATTATTGTAGAGGTACTAATACATTTCAAGTTTCATTTTGAAAATTCTTTTATTTTAACTCGTTTTTGTTATTATATTAGAGGCTTGGACGTCTTTGTGTGTGCCAGATTTAGTAGATGATATGACCAAGACATGAGGATGAAGATTACTAGAAGAATTTTTTAGATATAGTGTTTCATACTATATTATTGTTTACCAGATTATGCTATAGGGAAAGTTGCCGGTCTCCAGGAAGCTAAACAGTTATGAATTGATTGATAGGGAATGTTTGTTAACTTGTTGTATGAACACTTACTTTTTATGGGTCAAAATTGTTTGATGATTAAGAGCCATATCTAGAAAATAGTGTTACCTAAAAAAGTAACGATACATGAAAAACTGGACTCAGGAATTGGTGCAAGGTGAAGAAGTTTAACTATTTGTTGGTTTAGATGAGGAATGAAACAAGAAAACTAAACAAAGAAATCAGTGCAAGTTTAAGAATATTGGCCATTTCTAAACCTGAGAATATAGTATCTCTGTTGCAATTAGGTAGGTCAGGTTTACCAGAATTATGCTTTAGTATGTGGAATAAATAAGACAAATACAAAGTTTTGAGAAATTGACAGCCATGAATTAACTCTATGAAATTTTATATACAATAGCGAGTACAATTAAATAAGATAAAGTCCCTGAAGTTTGGCTTTTTGTAAGCAGTAAAAGTATACAGACTTAAAAGCCTTACTTTGATTACCTTAACAATCTATTGTCAAACATGCATTTGGATAGTAAGTTACTCAAGAGCAAAGGGACACTATGAGTAGGACGTGTAGAGTCAACACCTGTTATATGCTTCTGTTGTCACCATTGTTTTAAACATCCGCGATATAGCACGATATATCAGCCGACATATCCTTTAGTAAGGCTTGCTGCAAAATGATGTGGTCTTAATATCTTTTACCTCTTTTTGGAATATTTGTGCGATATATCCCTGACATGGCTGATATCCCGGTGATATGTTGGCCAATATATCCTTCTATATAGTTTGTCACAAAACAATAAAGTTTTGTAAAATTTCTTTAAAGGTTTTTAGCAAAAATTCCATCTCTATGAAGCTTTTCGGCAAATTTCTAGTATGCTCTTTTCCCTAAGGAAGTTTCTACAATTAGTTAGTGATCCTAAACATATATTAGTTCCATTTTTGTATGCTTAGATTTCAGCAAGTAGTTTAGATTACATTTTTGGACATTATATTATATATGTGCATCATCTGATATGTCAATCCAATATTTACTACATAACCCCGATAATTCCTCGATATCCACAATCCGATATGGATTTTGGGCATCCCATATTTCCCCGATATATGATATTTAAAACCGTGGTTGTCTCCTCTTGGAATATGTCTTAGTTTGATGTTTTGGTAAAAAAGAACTCTGCCTGAGCTTCTTTCTCATATTTGAATTCCACAATTAACATATGAAGATCTAACTTTCAACCTACAACACTCAAACATTTTGTCCTATTCTCCATGTGATTTGCTATTATAGCCTGTTTTTTTTCATCATTTAATGTGGCTGAATCTCAGATTCATTCTTTATTAGGTTCCTCCTGTTGCATTCCTTCCGAACTGGCTTGTACAGAAAAAGGTGCTTTACCCATTCCGTAAACAGGTTAGATTTTTGCTAGTCCATGTGATTTCCTACTATGAGGTTTTATGTGCACAAATAAATGTTAGTTTATGCAGGTTGGGGGTTCCATCTTGGCAGCAAAGCTTGCCAAAGAACGAGGATGGGCCATTAATGTGGGTGGTGGTTTCCACCATTGTTCAGCAGAGAAAGGTGGTGGATTCTGTGTTTATGCTGATATTACTCTCTGCATTCAGTATGCTTTTGTTCGTCTAAATATATCTAGGTATGAACTTTCACTCGAACGTGTGAATGACAGTGTTTTGTAAGCTGAGCTTAGTTCCTATTTTTTAAGAGTTTATACTCAATTTATTTTTGCTGCACATGTATACAGGGTAATGATTATTGACCTTGATGCTCACCAAGGGAATGGTTATGAAATCGACTTTTCTAATGACAGTATGTGTTTTTCACTCAAAGCATGTTGTTTTGTCAGTAAATTTGTTCTCAAGGTCACTGATGTTATATTTGCTTGCAGGTAGAGTTTACGTACTGGATATGTACAATTCTCAAATATATCCTTTTGTAAGGACTACTCTTAAGACTTCATGACTATTTCTGATATACTTATGGTCTTTCTTTTGTATTTTGCAATCTAAATTTTTTATAAATGGTTTCCTAAAGGAGGATTGTATGGGTTGTACTCATGTTTCATATACTGTTTGAATTTATCTCTTGTTTATGAACTGTATCCATCCACAATCAATTCATTTTACTTAATGAAGTGGTGTTTTGAACAAGGCCCAATCCTTTTTTTTAATTGTTTGTTTCTCTGCATCTTCTGTTAACCTCCTTGGTGAGTGATGTTCCCCCCATTTTGAAGCAAAGCTTATGTCATGGATAAAGATTGATTTCATCTTTCCTGCTCTATTACTCATAAAGTCCTCAATTTTGTCCTTCTAAAGGTTAATTTAAGGTTAGAATCCCTCAGTAATAGAGATATGTCATCAGCTCTCTGATTATTTGAACTATTTGGAATTTGAACTTTCAAATGAGGTTCTTTGCAACCTTCCCCTCTACCTGGCACTCTGCAACAATAAGAAGATGAAGTTTTTGAATGACCGAAACCGGAGCTTTTGAGAAGTTTATAAACGTGCACCTCAGCAAAATCAAACTGCTGCTACTAGCATCATAACCGTCATTTCATGTGTGTACCTATAAGCAAGATCAAATTCTACTAGTACTAGCAGTGCAAGTGTTAGAAAAGCAATCACATCTTACATGTTCTACTTCCATTTTACTCTGCACTAGTCACTGCAGGAGTGGAATCTATTTGAGCATAAATTTAGAAATAAAGTGTACTTTCTCATGATGCAGCATGCTGTAGTCACATTATTTCTGATGGTCTTGCTTGTTTTAGATCAAGAATTTATACACTGCTACAGGTGACACATTTTTAGTCTATTAATGTCAACTAGAAAACTGTTTAACCTATATGATATGAGTGAAAAGTCCTCCATGCATTTATTACACACGTAACACTTGTCTACTGTATGTTTATCCCTCATTTAAAAATTAAGTCTTGTTATTTTTGCTTGCAAGGATTATGAAGCCAAGAGATACATTGATCACAAGGTAGAACTAGTGGTAAGTGAAGCTACCTCTAGTATTTCTATGTTTCTCCTTGTTTCAACATGATTGATGATGTCATAATGCTTTTATAGCATCCAAGTTCTATATTAAAACATTTTCCCCTTTATATTGTGTTTTGCAAATTCAGAGTGGGACCAAGACAAAGGAATATCTGGAGGAATTAGATAAAGCACTTGAGGTATGCATTTGTCGATTCTTCTTACTTACGTTCATCAATCATCGTCCTTAACTTTCACTCGTATTTGTCCCGTATCTTTGCTGTAATTTCAGCCTAGGAACATAGAATGATAGCAGATACATACTCTATTTGAATTTATGTGTGGGAACAACTAACATTTTATATATGTGCTGAAAGAAATTACTGAAGGTAACAAATTAGTGTTCTAGCTATGAGGCAATAAGCTAATGGAATGTCAACGGGGCATACATGTGAAGTAGTGCTATATAGTGGTGAATGAAGGGATTGATGCATGATTTGCTTCATCATAAGGAAAGCCCTTTTACAAGTGATGAATATTCCTTCTATTTCGCTTGATTTAAGGTACAATATGGGCTGAGAAGGGTATATCTGATGTCTGATGGTAAGGTTGCTACGTTGAGGAGCGGAACCAACTATGGATAAATGAAGAGGGTCTAACTTCTAAGGGCTAATAAAAGTTCTCTCTTAGTCTAGAAGATTGATAACAAGAACAAACATGGATAAACTTACATCTTAATTGGTCCCAGAAGATTATCTCTTGTTCCGCTTAAGATCCACGCCTCCAGTGAGCAGTATAATTAATTTGTCTATGATTATGATTCATGATACTAATAATTCTTCATGACTGAATCTCTAGATCTTTAGACCCCAAGCTAGAGTACCTTTCTTTGGGAACGAGTAAGTTAAAGCTAACTTCGGAATGTCTTCTTCAGATTATTTATGGATTTTTCAGGCTATAGTAGGTCTATCATTCCCACTCACCAAATCCTTTTTATGGACTCTGTCTTTCTGAAATTTTGGGACTGATTGGACCTTTTGGAACCATTCCAAGGCCTATTTTCCAGTACAAACTGTGAGTTTAGTTTTCTTCAATAAGGAAGAATGTTCTTCCCATTATCAGAGAGGGTGATCAAAGATTGTGGAAGAAAGGTTTACAAATTATTGTTTCAGAAAGAATTCATTCGTCCATCTAGCATGTTTTGTGCAAAGTTTTTGCTAGTTAAGTCGTTGAAGTTTATTTTAATGAGCATGATATATTTATGTGCCAAATTATCTTTAATGACATTGGTTGTACCCATTAAAATAGTAAAAATATGCTTGCATTCAGGTTGCAAGAAACAATTTTGATCCTCAGCTAGTGATATACAATGCTGGCACTGATATTCTTGATGGAGATCCCTTGGGCAGATTGAAGGTACATTTTGTTGGCTCTGCATTTCTTATAATGTATATATAAATTTTCTGAAATGCATGTTCTTTTATTTATTTATATTATCATGGGTATCATATACTTGCTGTCTTGGATCTTCTTTGTTTTATTTACACTGAACTGTAAATCATTTCCTTTGATGTTAATTGCACCAGTGGCACACTAATTTTCTGGTGTGTGTATATCTATACTGGACTCATATTATAATTTGGTGAAGAATGGCCTTTTAAATTTCCTTTTGACAATCCCACTCAATTCTAAACAAGATCGGTGTACAACTCACTATACAAACTTTGTTATTTTCACTCCTTATATGCTTCTTTCTACCGTGTTTACTATTGCTTTTAGAAAACTTCACGAGTTCCTAAATATACAAGTCTTCTTGAATTTTTTTGTTTTGTTTATCAGTTACCACTCTCTTAAGGATTGATGCTTAATCGCCAGTATCTGTAACTATGAGAAAGTCAAAATTAGAAAAGTAATGCTTCTCTATAAAGCGGAAGAATGAGATTCGGCTCCCTTAATCCTTTCCTCAGGTTGTCCTTCATTAGTTCTGGTTATCTGATCAAACTTGATATTGCTCTCTTTCCCCTTCCTTTATTCATATCTGAAGTCACCATATCATTTTCATTCAAAGTTTCCCCAGAAAATGTATTACGTCTATAAAAATAACTGAAATCACATCAATTCTGATGAGCGCTTATCCTCTTTAATATAAATAACTTTTCCCAGGCATATACCTCCGAGAAGCAGTTCCTAAGGTCTAAAGACATGTCTATATGCAAAATCAATGCCAATTTGAACCCTGGGGATTTTTAATATGAAGTAGGGTGGTATTAAAAATTAATCCAAAAGGTCCAACTACTAATGTTATTATCGTCAAGAATCAAAAGAACATGAAAAATGCACAAAAGGAGTTGATTTCAGGAATTTGTCATGGGGCAATGTTAGTGTGGTAATTTTCCTAGATCTGGCCTTGTTGAATATAGTCCTCTTTAAAGGTATATATAGTATTCCCTTTGTAGAATTTACAGAATATGGGTCTAAAATTTTTAAGATGGGAACCAGTCATGAAAGACTCCTAGAACCACATTATTGGTGAGAGAGCAGAACAGTCCAAGCTTAATTCACCCTACATGACGAAAGACATGCATTTTGCACTCTGTCCAAAAAAGGAATACCACAACATTTACATGAATCTGATAGAAAATTAAACCTCTACTCTCTATTTAGTCATCTCAATTCTGAAGATTTAGAAGCCAGAAGTTGGGTTTTGAAAGTGAGAATTGACAGAAGCAAAATCCACATGCAATGTGGTATTGGATTTTGTTTCCTCCAATATCTCATCTTCAGCTGTTCAACAATTAAAAGGAATATCTAGTTTAAGGCTGAATGTGAGAATTGGAGGATCGATCCAAAACCTTAAGCTGTACCAGCGAGTCTTCAATATCTCATCTGCTGCTGCTCAACAATTGAAGGAGCATGTAGTTGGCGTCTGAATGTAAGAATTGGAGGATCCTAAACCTTATGCTGGCTGAATATGAGAATTGGATGATTAATAACCTTAAGCTGTATCCATGGGGTTTATTTTCCTCTAATATCTCATCTTCTGCTATTCAATCCAATTTGTCTGCCAGTTTTATATCTTTGGGATTTTGAACTTGAGAATTAGAGGATTGCAAACCATGAAGAATTATTATTTTCGGTTTGGTTTCCTCTAATATCTCACTTTCATCTACTCGGAAACTTTCTACCTGAAGAGAATCTAGTACGGTAAACTGGACGCTGTTAGAATTAAATATCATTTCAGATTGATTAACTGGACGCTGTTAGAATTAAATATCATTTCAGATTGATTAACTAATAACAGCCTATAGTATGATCATGGATGTTGGCGAAGTTCTGTGCTTTCCTGAGTATGAAATCGATAAAGACTATTCCCTCAAGGCATAAAGATGTCCATAAGCAGGGATCAACTTTTTCTTACACATTCTATAAAAATGGAGGTAATATGATTTGATGAGGTGTGAATATGCCTCTGTCATTGTGACCTCCCTATACTTATTTCACGAAAAGTCACTGCAACGTCTAAAAAGGTGTTAGCTGGGCTCCTCTCTGCTTTCTGTGTGGTTGTCTGCTGCTTGCATGTGTAGCACCTTGAGATCAGGGTGGAAAGAAATTTCTATAACATTTTAGTTTAACTAAAAAAATAAACATTTTAGTTTGTTTTACTAGCAGGGCGTATTGGTAGTTGGACCTTTTGGATTACTTTATTTCCATTACTTGTTCAGTGCATGGACATATAGACATTGCACTTTAGTTTATATTTTTTACTTTTTGCATCTATTTAGGTGTAGAAGGATTCTATATGTGTTGGTAGATGGTCAAACTTGGAGAGATTAGTTTTACATTCCATGCCCTAATAATCCTGGTTCCTAATTGCTAGAGAAATAAATAATGATATAGTGAAAGAAAGAAGGTAATTGCTTGTGTACCATAACATTTCATTTGCAATATTATTATTGTGATAGTACAAGGGGTCTATTTGCAATTAACCCTATTATTTTTCTTCCCATCATTTAATTTTGTAATCTTAAAGCTACATAGTAGCGCAGATCAGTCCTGAAGGAGTAGCCATCAGGGATGAGAAAGTTTTTAGATTCGCCAGAGAAAAAGATATACCTCTTCTGATGCTAACATCAGGTGAATTAAATATTTTCATTTTGTATATTTTCCCATTTTCCATATCAATAATTCTGTATTTTTCTTCAACAACACGGTTCAGGTGGCTATATGAAAACAAGCGCGAGAGTAATTGCGGATTCAATCACAAACCTCTCAAAGAAAAGGCTGATAGATATGGAGGTTCTCCAGAGTAGAAAATGATGATATTCGTATATATTCCACTTGTATATTTTACATCCAGTTGTGTGTAAACATGTACATATTTTACAGTGGTGGTAACACATCTTTAACTGTTCATCTGTAAATGTGGCTGTAAAATATGATGAAATAGTAAATGGGGCGGTGTCTTTGGTAAGAGTTTTAGTTGTTGGCACTGTAAGGAATGTATGAGAGAATAAAAAAAATAGTTGCAGTCTACAAATGTTCTTTTATTGACTATAATCTTTCTGTAATTGGCCCTAGGATATTTCATTTATGTGAGATTGCAAGCGCAAGTGATGAACTGATCATGACAACAAACTGTTAAGTTTAACACGATTTTACTAAGCATCCTATTCATGCAAATATAATTGTTTGGTTCATATCTAACGCAAATATAATTGTTTGGTTCGTGTCTAGAGTCCAACGGATACATCTTTCATTTATCCTGTGATGCTCTTACTATTTGGAGCTTGTTCTCACTTATTATTATTTCAATTGAGCTCCGTCGACAGTTTTCAGGACTTCCAATATAACATGTCCTTAACGAAATGGTATCTAACCATGCGAACAATTTTTTTGACTTCGTATATGAATGATTTTATGCTTAGATGCGTGTCAAATATTTCATTTATATTCCACATTTATATCCGCATTCATATCCTATCAAATCAAATATAGATATTCTATTTATATCGGTAACTATATTCAATTAGCATCCTTAATGGCAAAAGAGTTAACATCCTTAATGGTAAAAGATTCTATTAGAAAATTACAAAATGAGGTTATCTAATTATGACTATTTTATTAATGATGTAAATGGGTACCCTTGACGACTTAGATAGTTGGGGGTTTCAATATGACTCTCACTGTCTTGGTTTAATTCACAGTCGCCTCCTAATTAAAAAAAAAGATGATGTAAACCACGTCCCTCCTATACAGAGGGTTCCACTGTCATTCCCATTTCCTACTGCACCGAGTTGGGCTGGGCTCATGTCCAAACAGCCGAACCGATGACGTAAATCCAAAACCCATTGAATCTGTTCGGATCTAGATTCGAATCCGTTTCAATTACCACTCGTCGAGTCCAATAACCCACGAAGCTTCCCCTCTTCGATCCTCACTTGAATTTTTTTTCTAAATAAACTCATTCACATTAAAAAAATTGATCCCTTGAGTTTTATTTACAAAAATCTACCCACTTTCTCGTCATGTCAGCATCGTGGCGAGAAAGTGGGTTGATTTTTTTAATCCGGTTCCTAAATAGTCGAGGTTGTCAACGCCGACTATTTAGGGCATAGAATGTTCGGGTTTAGGGTTGTAATTGGGGTTTTGCAACCTCCTAAATAATCGGGGTTGGCAACCCTGACTATTTAGGATCAAGATTAAAAAAAATCGACTCACTTCCACGCCACGATGCTGACATGGCGAGAAAGTGGGTCGATATTTATAAAAATAACTCAAGGGGGTCGATTTAAAAAAATGGGAATGTGTTTATTTAGAAAATTTCTTCATCCTCTCTCTCTCTCTCTCTCCAAGCTCTCTCCAATGGCGGAAAAGCCCGAGCCCGTTCATGTGCTCTATGACATGGCGAGAAAGTGGGTCGATATTTATAAAAATAACTCAAGGGGGTCGATTTAAAAAAATGGGAATGTGTTTATTTAGAAAATTTCTTCATCCTCTCTCTCTCTCTCTCTCCAAGCTCTCTCCAATGGCGGAAAAGCCCGAGCCCGTTCATGTGCTCTACT